GTGATTCATGAAAAATTTATGATTAGATAAATTAGACTTCATTAAGTCTAAAACATCTTCTTTTCAAAAGACACTGTTAAGAAAATGGAAACATAAGCTTTAGAGTGTGATAAAATATTTGTCAAGAATGTATCTGACAATGAATTTTGGAAGACAATGTATAAAAATCTGTTAAAGCTAAGAAAACACCCAAGTGAAAATTGGACAGACTATGTGACCAGACTATGTGACCAGACTTCCTAGCAAACAGGACACAAGTCTGGTGGGAAGTGGTATCACCTCCATTCACAGGGAGTATGTGCCAAGACTCACAGTGGACATTAGAAACTCTGCAGAATACTAAAGCCCATATTCTATTTTTCCTATTCATTGCTATCTATCATGAATTTTAGTTTATAAGTTAATCAAAATAGTAGATAACAATAACTAGTAAGTATCAAACAATGATGGACAAATACTATAATAAAAGTTGTATGTACATGATCTTTCAAAATAAGAGGGTACTTAAGAGGACCATGGAAAAATAGTTATAAAAGGTAAGTATATTTTGGTCCAGAATTAGAAAGATATTCAAAATAGAAAGATATTTATATTTATTTTCTAATGCATATTTTCCATTAACTTTTTCAAGATACTTCATATGCATGAATTTCAAGTATTTTATCTAAAAATAAAATTGTTCTTTTAATTATATTTTCTATAGTCTCTTTGAAGTACCCTTGTATCTTGTCCTGTACTCACTCATCTTTCTTAACTATGTGAAGTGATACAACGTCTAGATGACAAGATGAAGTGAGGTGAATGCCATAGACTAGACAAGGGTCGCTTGAGCCCAAGTGCTATGATGCTGGGACAGTAAGTCTGATAGCTTAGAAGGCCTCTATGCAATGAACAGGCAGTGGCATTGATCCACTGGGCAAAAGGAGGATTCAAATCCTAGGTAGGACAAGGGGAAAAGACAAGATTTAATCACAGTTTGCAGAAGAGTGGGCAATTTAACGCTTCTAAATTGTTTATTTCTGGAATTTTCCATTTAATAATTTCAGATTCAGCTTGACTAGCAAGTAACTGAACTGTAGAAATTGAAATTTTGGATAAGGTGTGTTAGCTATCATCTGTTGTTGTCTAGCAATGTCAGCATACATCTGAGAGCTTAAAATACACACCCACATTATCTTAATCTCTCTGTAGCACAGGAATCCAGCATCTCTTGGCTGGGTCCTCTGCTTCTGAGTCTCTTACTAAATTGCTGTTGTTCAGAGCTGGAATCTCCTGCAAGGCTCAGCTGATGAAGGATCCACTCCCCAGCTTACTGTAGTGCTTGAGGGTGCAGTTGCTTGCAAATTGCTGAATCGAAGGCCCAATGCCATCACCAGCTATTGCCAGAGTCTTTCCTCATTCTTTTGTTACATTACTTTGTATCCTGTTGAGTGAATGAATACAGTAAATCCTACCTGCACTAATAAGTAGAGGATTACACAAGGAATCCAGAGGTTGGAGGATGCCTGCAGATTATTGGAGACATTCAGCCACAAAACGCAATCCATGGAATAACTGGGAATTTCACACAATGCTTGTGGAAAGTAAAATAGTATTATCACTTTGTAAAAGACATTTTGGCAGTTCCTTATGATTTAAATATATACCTACCATATAACTCAACAGACATCATTTTCTTGGCATTTTCATAGAAGAAATAAAGGCACATGTGCAGATGCAAGAAATTTTCCAGTAGTTTTACGTACAATAGACACAACTTGGAAACAACCCAAGCAGCCATGGATGCACAGAAGACGAGACAGTCTGTAGCATGCTCACACTCAACAAAATAATGCAATGAACAACTGATCCATACGAGATGAATGAAGAAATGTCTCTGAGTGAAGTGAGCTAGAGTTTAAATGGTACTTATGGTATGATTACATTTTTATAAAATTGCATGAAAAAAATTGCAGTGATAGAAAGCAAAAGAGTGACTGACTGCCTGGGGATGTGCAGAGACTTGGGGAGGGGTGACAGGAGCGATTGTGAAAGGACATGAGAATGTCTTCTGGTGATGGACCTGTTCAATTTTTTGCTTGTGGTCGTGATTTCATGGAACATATGGGAGGTGAAATAGACGCTTTCAATGTGTGCAGTTTAATGTGTCTCATTTCATATAAAACATGGCTATCTTGAACTGAATTTCATTTCTTGTTAGTGACCAATTATCCCTTTGTAAACAAATATAATCTGAAGCATTAGCTAAAATCTGCAGGAGGAGGTCTCTTTCCTCCCAGTTCTGGAGAATCAAGGGCATGGTGTCAGAATTGGCTTAGCTCTGGTGAGGGCGCCCTTGGCTGCATCCTGTCCCAACAGAAGGCAACATGGTAGGAACAAGTGAGAGAAAGAAAGGTCCCATGGCAAGTCAGGAGGTCAGAGATATGGATGGCACCAGGATCACTTTTTTAAAACAACCCACTCTTTTAAAGCATCTCTGGGACAGTTGCTTTAATTCCTTCTGAGGGCAATGGTCATAATGACCTGTCCACCTCTTAAACCCCTCTCTGCCTCTCCATATGGCCACACTGACTACCGAGCTTCCAACACAAGAATCGGTGGAACACAATCACATCAAACTACAGCAACCCCTGTGATTATTTGTTCTTTATTGTGCTTTCCAACATTTCACATAAAACAGAACCTGCCCATTTACATTGCTCATTCCTAGCTTAATTTTTTTTGCTAAGAATTCAGTAGATTTCTACTGCCTAGAGCAGTACAATGCACATAAATGACACCCAATAAATATTTTGAGAAGACATAATTTTAATATTTTTATCACAAAAACAGAAAATTTCCTGAGGTATGGATACATTAATTAACTTGATTGAATCTTTCTGCAATGTGTACACAGATCAAAAACATTGCATTTACCTCATAGTATACACAACTATTAATTTCAATTGCAAATACATAAAAATAAGTGTACTTTTAATTCAGCATTTTACAGGTTCAAACAATGCCCTATTGTTTAAAGAGACCATAGAGTTTATTAGGGTGATCATAAAGGACACCTCATATTCTGAATAACCGTATTGATTAATTAAATTCCTAACCTTATATTATTTTCTCTTATGCTTCCCAGTGTAGTAAGAAATAGTAGATATTCTTCAGTAGTTCTTGTGTGTTTGATTTATTTCATACTGTCCCCTTATACTGTCCATTTGGATGACCAAGACTTTCCTTTAATATACACGTCATAATTAATGAAGAGAAATGACAAATTTGAGTAAGGGTTTCTCATTGAGTTCCATAGATTATTCATGACATATTCTACAATATAATTTTTAAGCCTATTTCCTTTTATCACAAGCCATTCAAGTAAAAATTTCTTAAATTCTGATTTGAGTGCCTGTTGGCTAGAAACTTTTTATTTTTTTAGGCAAATCTGAAAAAAAAACGTAATTCCCTAGAATTTCTTTTTGCAATGTAAATATAATGTGTATATACAAATAATGCCATGTGAGTAAATGAGAAACAGCTATATGCTTTGCACATATGATAGTTTATGAACATTACGTACAGACACATACTAAATGAAGAAATACAGTGCCTATGTGAATACATGCATCTTATTTGCACTTCTACAAATTCTGGGACTCCAGTACATACATATATTATGCTTATTGGTACCATCCTCTGTTCTTTTTTTTTTTTTTTTTTTTTTTTTTGACAGGCAGAGTGGACAGTGAGAGACAGAGAGAAAGGTCTTCCTTTTCCATTGGTTCAACCCCCAATGGCCGCTGTGGCTGGTGTGTTGTGCCGGCGCACAGCGCTGATCCGAAGCCAGGAGCCAGGTGCTTCTCCTGGTCTCCCATGGGGGTGCAGGGCCCAAGCACTTGGGCCATCCTCCACTGCACTCCCAGGACACAGCAGAGAGCTGGACTGGAAGAGGAGCAACTGGAACAGAATCCGGCACCCTGACTGGGACTAGAACCTGGTGTGCTGGTGCCGCAGGCGGAGGATTAGCCAAGTGAGCCACGGTGTCGGCCCCATCCTCTGTTCTTGAGTCTTATTTTTTGCTTTCTGTTGTTCTGCATTTACCATTTCTCTTTATCTACTTTCAAGTTCTATGATTCATTCCTGTCAAGTTCATTCTTCCTTCAAGACTATTACTGAAGTTTTTGTTTAATATATTTTCAATTGTGTTGCTTTTTATAATTAGTATTTTTTTGCTGATGTTTGATACATATAACGTTTTTATGTACTACAGGCTGATTTACTTCATGTCATTGAGCCCTATATCTGTATTAAGGTTTTCTTCTTTTAACTTATTTTAATGTTATTCCCAGATGACCCAGACAGAACATGCTATTCAGCTGGAACAGAGGGATACATGGTGATTTCATGGAATATATGGGCAGTGTCTCAGGAACAAACTAAAACAAAGAAGAGAGTGGCACTGAACGATTCCAAGGTTCACCGCATTATGCCCACTGTATGCTGCAAGTGCAGTGGGCTGAGGATTCATGGGTGCCCTTTTCTGTCCATTTCTAGGTGAAACAACCCCCAGTGCTTACCTTTCCTATCCCATTGGTGTGCATTGGATGTGTAGGACATTTAAACTATCTCATGTACATAGATATTTCATATTGAACATAACTATGTTAAAATATTTACTTAGTGTTTTGGCTTGGGAAATATATACAAGGAACCTCACATATATACAGGCCTGATGCCATTTTCCTTCAAATCTTAACCTGATACCACAACTGAACGAGAATCTGGATGAAAGAGGGAGGATTGTATTTTGCGTGTGATAAAATGCAAATGGTCATGGCAAAAGAATGAACTGTGACAGAATGCATTTTCTAAACATGATCGCAGTAATAAGCATGGCTGCTCATGAACTTCCGGAACGTTTTTCTGTTTATTAACAGCTGGAAGCTACATTTTCACTCCCTTGACACTGGGAGGGATTCTCCGACTGTCTTGATGACGACAACATGACACGAGGGGATACTGGGTTATTCCCAAGGCTGATAGAAGAGGAGATGATGGTTCTGCCTGGATGTCTTCTTCATGCTCCTTGAGTTTGCAAGTGAACCGTCATGTCCTGAGCGAGCCGGGTCCACACAGACGCAAAGTTCGGGGATTGTGTCTCAGATTCCCATCAAACTTAGCCAACAGCCGTGATCAACAGCCAGCAGGTCAGTTGGAAGATAAATTTACTCCTTAGCTTTTAAGAATCTCATCTCAGTACTGCAAATTTCAGATTTCTGACCAAAATAAATAGTATTTTTTCTAAATAAGAGGTTTGCATGCTTTCAGTTATTATAAATAGAAAAAGTTACTTTTGGTGAAGAAGACAAAACAAGGAACAGGGAATAAAAATGAAATTAAACTTACCCATAATGCTTTCACTTTTCACAAGAAAATGTGATTATTTTGTTAGTAAGATATTTTAAAAAGAAACTATTTTAAATGATATTAACATGTTTCTAACACTATGAAGTATTTTTTATTTTTTAATTTTTTTGTTTTTATTATCAAATTTATTTTTTTAACTTTTATTTAATGATTCAAGATAATATGGATATATTATATTTTATTTACAAGGGTCTGTACTATGTAAAGACAAACTTAAGATTACATTCTAGTTTGTAAAGGCATATGAAATATAAATTTTAGCCAGAAGAATATGTTTAATTTATTTGCATATTTCACTATTTGGAGATAGCTTGAAACGAAAAAGGATATAATAATCCATCTCTATTAAAATGTACTGCCTTAAATAAAATTATTTTGACTTTACTGTCATCATTGATCATCGTGTAGATTTACTAGTTAAATATTATTTTAAAGGATTTATAATTGAATATTAAGTATTTTCCAAGTACATTGTCAAAAAAAAAAAAAACACCCTCTAGGTCTTGCTCTTATGGTTCCTTTCATTCTCTGAATTTATAGCTAATTTTCACGAGTTATAAAGTTCTGGATTACACATCCCCCCACCCATGACACCTCCCAGCTTTTAAAAGAGCGTAACAATTTATTACAGCAATTTAGCAAAAGTACTGCTGCTTCCTGTCAGAATTTACTGGCATCTTTGCTCACAAACTGGACATAAAATATGTCAATGTGACCCTTATCAGGATCCTTGATGCAAGACATTGATCGCACGTTCCTTTCCTCTAATTTTATGTGTATGTTTGGTAGGGCAGATAAACCTAGGGCACCTTTAAATCTCTACAATGAAATTCCTGAATTTGCAACAAAGCATTTCCTATGAGAATAACAAAAGTGAGAAACACATCAGAAATATCAGTGGAAGCCATTTATATAATCTGGTGAAAGACAAAAAAGAAATAACTGATATTTAATGAGCACATCTTAGTTTAATTCAATAATATAATAATACAGATACAGAACACAAATTATGAAAAAAATTCCTCAAAGAAAAAGCAACCAGGGGCTGGAGTTGTGTAGCAGTGGGTACACCACTGTTACGAGGGTGACAGCCTATATCATAGTGCTCCTTTGAGCTCTGCTGCTCTGCTTTGGATCCAGCTCCCTGATGAAGTGCCTGGAAAGGCCAAGGGACATGCCTCAAGTCAGTACCGGGGTCTCTGCCATCACGTGGGAGACTAGGCTGGAGTGCTCGACTTCATCCTGGCCCAGATTAGGGTATTGTAGCCCTTCGGGGAGCTAACCCCTGAATACAAGTTTCTTCTCTTTTTCTCCTACCTCTCTCTGTATTTCAAATGAATAGCTAAGTATTTTGTAAAAAGAAAGAAAAAATGACCAGAGTACTATAGTTTTCTAATCTGCTTCAGACTTCTGTAGCTAAATTCTCTACTAGTGCTTTCGCTTCACTCTCCCTCCCTTATCTGTTTTTCATATGAAAAGATATGAATGCTGGTGGAAAATACTATCTAAGCCCCAGCTTATTAAGTTTATAGATGACACTGTCATGAGAACTGTGGCCAAGTCATAGCAACCTTGGTGTCTGTGACGGCGGTGTCATCCTTTGCATGACCTTAAATGATGTGGGAGGCACCCTTGCCAATGTTCCTTTGCTTAATATTCACCTGTAACACAGACATCAGTGGCATTTCACTGTTTAAAACACAATGAAATCCATATATTGGGAAATTTATCCTTTTAATTAGAAGTTCTGTCAAATAACCTTCATTTGATACAATGGAAAGCAAAGTGTTTACAGTAATGAGGAAGTTACTGTAAGCTTACATTCTTTAAACTTAAATAAATATTTTTACAGTTGGTTCCATTTTTATCTGAACATTTTCAATGAACCTTTATTATAATGAGTGTTTTATTTTATTGCTTGTTCATTTGTAGAGTTTGCTGTCAGAGGCAAAATGTGCAAACTATTATAAAGCAAATTTGATTTCCAGTACAAGAAAAATGCTAGCTTGTGTAATATAAACCCGTGCACACATGTCTATGTCTGTGTCACCAGCATCCGAACGTACACTTGCCCAGAGGGGCTCTGACCCAGCTGTCACACACACAGAGCCGTGTTCACGCCGCCAAGGCCTGCCCACTCCAAGGCATTTTATCTTTCACATTATACTCTCTCTGCCTGTTTGTGTCCCACAGTATCCTCCAAAAGTGTGTGTGGGAAATTCATTTTTATGCTGTTCACTTGTGCTCACACATTTAATATAGGAATCAAAAAGTTATTTAGGTTTATAAAACACCATTTCACACTATCTTTATCCATTTCCTCCTAGTCTGGCCTTTGTCCATCTACATGTGTTAGTCCAGACAGAAGAGAATATGTTTCCCCCGGCACTGCCTTCCCTGACAAATGATGAAAAGCCTTCTTTTTCTTTTTTCATTTTAATTTTTAATTAGTTTCTAGCAGATTCTATGTGTTTAGTAGATGCAATTCTAAGAATATATGATAGTCCCTCTCAACCCTTCTCTCCCTCCTATCCTCTTTCCTTCTCCCTTTTTTTTTTTTTTTTTGGTTTTTAGTTTTTGAGGTAACATATTTTAAACTTACATTACACTAAAAGGCTTAATACTTTGCTAAATAAGAAGTTAAGTAAAAAGCCAAAAGCCTCTAGTTTAGTGGGAATATAGACATGGCCATAAACAATAACTGAATGGGAAAATGCCCGTTTCACCTATATAAATTTTAAAATAATCAAGATCATTAAAACTATAGTTGGACAATAGCCGGCGCCGCGGTTATTCATTTATTTGAAAATAAGAGTCGTAGAGAAAGGGAGAGACACAGAAAAAGAGAGAAAGATCTTCCATCCATTGGTTCAATCCATGATGGTCACAATGGCCAGGGATGGGCCATACCAAAGCCAGGAGCCAAGAGTTTCATTCAAGTCTCCCATATGGGTGCAGGGAAACAAGCACTTGGGTCATCCTCCAGCTGCTTTTCCTAGCTCACTAGCTGGGAGCTGGGTTGGAGGAGCAGCCAGGACTTGAACTGGCGGCCAGATGGAATGCTGGCACAATGGCTTTACCCTCTATGTCACAACATCAGCCCCTAACATAACATTCTTAATCATTAGTTTCACAAAGATATAAAACAAAGTTTTACCAAACCATTTTTGCTGTAATACTGATACACACTGACATTTCATTCTTTTTCTTCTTCTTCTTCTTCTTTTTTTTTTTTTTTTTTTTTGTTGTTGTTTGTTTCTTAACTTTTAGTTACCACATATAAGGGAGAGCATGCCGTATTTGTCTTTCTGGGTCCAAGCCTTATTTTTCTTGAATTATTTTTCATTTTCTGAGGTTTATCCAACTTATAGTAAATGAATTTCCTTTTAGTGTAACCACAATTAAGTTGAAAATCAAATATTTGGCTTCTATCAAGAAAAGCAATGCTTATTAAAAAAATTATAGAAGCAAAAAAAAACCACATTCTCTTGTTACTGTTTTTTAAATGAAGATCTATATCCACATGGTATTAACATGTCCTGCAAATTTCCAGGAATGCTTATATAATTTTTATTTATTTATTTTTTATTTGACAGGTAGAGTTATAGACAGTGAGAAAGAGAGAGAGAGAGAGGAAGGTCTTCCGTCCATTGGTTCACTCCCCAAATGGCCACTACGGCCAGCGCTGCAATGATCTGAAACCAGGAGCCAGGTGCTTCCTCCTGGTCTCCCACGCAGGTGCAGGGCCCAAGCACTTGGGCCATCCTCCACTGCCTTCCGGGGCCACAGCAGAGAGCTGGACTGGAAGAGGAGCAGCCGGGACTAGAACCCGGAGCCCATATGGGTTGCTGGCGCTGCAAGCGGAGGATTAACCAAGTGAGCCACGGCACTTGGCCCCAGGAATGTTTATTTAAAAACCATACTTTTGTTTTAAAATTTAGAAACTGTTTAAGGATTCTAACATGAAAATTTATAGAAGCAGAAATAATCATAACAAATAGCAATATAATCAAAACAAAAAGAGGGTTCATTAGACCAATGTAACCAGAAACTGAAGTACTAAAAACTAATTCAAATATTAAGAAATCAAATTCAATTAATATATGGGATGAAAAGCCCTCCAAGGTCAAATCAGATATATTATTCTAGTAAAACTACAGTTAAAGAGTAGGACATCTGTATTTCTAATAATTAAAATTACATAGAGGTCGGTGCCGTGGCTCACTTGGTTAATCCTCTGCCTGCTGCACGGCATCCCATATGGGTGCAAGGTTCTAGTCCCGGCTGCTCCTCTTCCAGTCCAGCTCTCTGCTGTTGCCCAGGAGTGCAGTGGAGGATGGTCCAAGTGCTTGGGCCCTGCACCTGCATGGGAGACCAGGAGGAAGCACCTGGCTCCTGGCTTCAGATAGGTGCAGCGCTGGCCGTAGCGGCCATTTTGGGGGTGAACAAAAGGAAGGAAGACCTTTCTCTCTGTCTCTCTTTCTCACTAACTTTGCCTGTAAAATAAGTAAAAATAAATAAATAAATAAAGATAAAGAGTCATTATCTTAAAAAATTACATAATGTTTATGAGGAAATAGCTCAATGATAATCCTAAATTACAATTTAGGCACCCACAAACACTAATCCAAGAGGGAAGTAAAATAAAGACACAAATGTATGATGTGAAAAAAAATTTAACCTCAAAATTTTTGTTATAAACCAACAGTGTTTACAACCTGATGAAATATTGAATAGGTAATGGTGAAATTTGATGAACTGAGTGATAATTTGAGTTTAA